CTATCTATCTATCTATCTATCTATCTATCTATCTATCTATCTATCTATCTATCTATCTATCTATCTATCTATCTATCTATCTATCTATCTATCTATCTATCTATCTATCTTAGAATGAGTTTTTAAAAACTGTTATAGACAATCCTGATGGTTCAAATCCATTCATCCATTCATGTGGACTACAAGGTTGCCTCCTATACTATAAGGATTTAAGTTGAAAGGGATTGTGGGGAATTTGTAGGCCTAAAATCTTGACTAAAGGGGTTTATCATCCTCTGAGGAGGATCAAATGTACAGTATGTGCTCCAGGGGTTTCCCCTGTGGCAGGGATCAGTGGAAATACGCTGACATTGATTTTTTATTTTTTTTTCCAGGAGCTTTTGATATTGATTTTGACTAGATGCAGATTGTCATATTTAGGTGATGGAAAAATCCTATTTGAACATGTCACCAGGCTGTTGCATTCCTGTGCTGCCTGTGACTGAGAGAATATTTGCTTAGTCTGACAAAGTGAAATAATGATGTGGAAAGAAAAACAAAGATCGGAGGTGCAACAAATCTGTCCCTTAAAGAACAGTTTGTCACCGGAAATGTGAGCATGCACCATTGCAGTGTTTGATGTACGGAAAAAAAATACTTTGTTATGATTGGATGTAGATGTTGCTCAGACAAACTTCCTTTCAGGGTGGCATACTTTATATTTAAGCTTTTTTTTCCTTCAATTTTTAAATATTTGCTTTATATTTTTATGTTGTGAATCATTAACATTAACATAGTCATTTGTATTTGTACTTGCTGCATGAAAACAGACTTACTAACACGAAGTTTACAGAAATTTTCCACCCAATGTCTTTTTTTGTTGTTGTTATAAACAAGACAAAACAGGACCAGGCACCACTCCTATGCAACAGATATTTGTCAATCGTCATCACTCTAAGCGGTAAAACGTGTTTTAGGCATGATTTGTGTGAGAAAAACAAATGCAAAAAAAAGTTAAGATAAAATATGAGAGACAAAAATGGGGAAAAAATGTCAGCTTGTGAAAGTTTAACTAGCCAGAGAAGTTCATTTGGTGAAAAACAGGCAGAAAGGAAGGACTCCTTTTTTTTTGTCTTTATCATTATTGTGTTCTCCTCATCTTTCATCATTTGTTTTGCTTTCCATTTTCCTTCTGCTCAAAAATGAATGTATTTGTATTCATCAAAAAAAAAAAAATTACAAATACATACGTTATAGCACTGTGTGTATATATCAGTGGTTCTCAAACTGGGGTTCCTGGACCCCCGGGGGCCCGCAAGCTGGTGATTTGGGGTCTGCAAAAAAATAAAA